TTTTTTTTTTTTTTTTTTTTTGGTGGACCAGTGGTTAGTAATGCTTCGTATCCCCTGATCCAGATGTGCTACCTGTGTTTTCGGGGTGTCCCAGGGCCCAATGTATCTCTAGGCTGGTCCTCTTTAGGTCATACAGACTGTACTACTTGTAATTTCAGGACCACTAAGCAAATATTGTATTTTTTTGTTAAGGATATACAGTATGTGTGTGTGTGTGTGTGTGTGGCTGTGAGTGTGTGTGAGTGTAGAGCAAAGCGTGAGGCTGAATGTGTGAATCTGACAGCTAGTTACTTAGGATTTTAAGTATTCCTCTGCTATGAACTTGCCATTGTCAAACGGTAGGCCGCAAGTTCTCGCCTGAAGTAGTTCATACTGTCTTTTGAGAGGTGATTGTGGAAATGTAGGCGAGAGTTCTAGATAGATCATGGACATATCTTTGCTCTTAGTGAATCTCTGCTGTCTTTTAGATCTCAAAGCACTTGGTTTTATCAGCACCCAGTCCTCTGAAGATTGGTTGTATTTTTCCTTCCCCCTAATCTTTCAACCGTATTTGCTGTTTATTTTTTTGTTGTTTTTTTATCAGTGCAGACGCATCAATGCATAATTTGTCTGAAAGAAATGTCGGCGGTCATCGTGGAACAATCACGAGCTACAGAATGTAAGCTAATGGTGCTTTCAGCCGCCTGTGTCAGCGTTGCCAGCGAGCGTTTTATTATTTTTCTTGTTTTTAATAAAGCGGGTATATTTCACGTGGGGATGGGGCGGGGCGGGGGGGCGTTACACTGAAGACATGAAGTGAATTTAAAGCTTTACATGTTGTGCTCTGCAAAGACTTGCTGGCGACGCGCCGACGCAGACGGCTGGAGCAGTTTTCTTGTGCGACTGTTTGAGCCACGTGACGATGAAACTTTCCCCCCCTCTGCAAACATCCCTGTTCTAATAAATTGCTTTAGAGGTGTTACATGTATTCTGTCGATGGCTGTCGGGTTGTTTCAAATCAATGCTGTGATTTTAAAGGTGTATACAAATGTGCTGCCGACTCGTTATTGCTTGAAACTCGAGGGGGTCGTGGAGTACCAACAGGGCTTTGATTTACTCTGTTTAGATAAGATTCAGCTTTATTGTCGCTGCTCAGAGTGCAGTGAATGCAGTGTCTTTGCAGACCCCGGCTTTTTGAGCTGGGGTCAGGGTGCAGCAGATAGGGTTAAGGGCCTCGCTTTGGGGCAGTGAAACAACAACCTTCTGATCGAAAGCCCAAAACCGGAACCACCGAGCCGCTAAACGTGGCTAGTAGTAGTTTAACTGGTAAACCGAGCAAATCTCTGCAATCAGTCGTGAAAGTGTGGAAGCTGCAGTTGAGAGACCTTAACAACTGGACTGCATATTAGTCTGTTTTCTGATTTTATCGGGCAATTTAACTTAAATAACAATAAAGCTCAGCCTCCAAATGACCATAAATCCCAGTCCGTTACTGGTGGTTTGTATTAGACTGCACTGGTTGTAGGTTTTGGGATTAACTCTTATTTTCTGCCATGGATTCAAACATGTTTAGATAATTTTTTTGTGAGATTTTTCAGACAAACTCTCTTCAGATGTGCTAAATATTCATCTGGAATGTGGCAAAAGTGGCTGCGCTGCGTCAGAAAAGCAGGAAACATCCACAAAAAGGTTATATCTGTGTAGATTCTTAGTGATCCAGCTTTGGAAAAAAGAAACTGAACTTTTTTTTTTGGTTCTTTCACCCCTCTTCCTTCTAGGTTTTGAACATTTGTGATGAATGTGCACCTCCGTGGGTTTGGAGAGCTGCGATTACAGATACAGACAGATAAAAGAGGGATTGCAGAGATTTTAAAGATAAGTGAAGCATTTTCAAGAACCCAAAAAAACTAAATCAACTCAAACATACTACTTAGTTACATACTTTAAATCTGAAGTACACAATTTAAAAGTTTCTAAGGTTACACTTAATTTAAAAATGTAAAAAAAACAAAAAGCTGTCATTCTTTAAATAAAATAAAATCTTAATATTCTTGATTATTCATACAACATTAACATCCAGATGTTTCGCTTCTTTCCGCCTCGGCCCGGCAGATAGAGACGTCACGTTGTGCGCATGTGCAGACGGACTCTCAGTTTTCCGTTTGAGCTGGGTCCTAGCGCTGATGTTGTTGACTGGACGTTAGTGATGGCGGCGGCCCGCAAACGGAGACATGAAGCCGGCGACAGGAGCTCGTCCGCCGGGAGGGCAGCCTCCTCCAGGAGCAAGAGAGACACGTCCTCCGGCGACGGTCCCACCGTGCTGGTGAAGCTGCTGGCGGCGGCGTTCTACGGAGTGAGCTCGTTCTTCATCGTGGTCGTCAACAAGAGCGTCCTCACCAGCTACAGGTAGAATAAATAATAAGAAGTACAAAGTACGAGTCGGATGTTTGACCAGCTTTAATAAAACAGCGAATAAATGGAGGCAGTTTAACAGCGAGGAGCGTTTAAAATATGAAGTGTTTGTTCTCTAAACAGTAAAAAAAAAAAAGTGAAGTTAGTGCTGCTGCCTGATGTGTTGGAGGTGTTGTGCCAAAAAGTGATCCTCTGTCGTAATCTGATTACTTTCCATGGCAGCAGTTATCCTCACGTGTCTGCATTAGTTTACCTGCTCTGTGCCTTGAATTATAACCAGATTCAGGTGATTTTGCCAGTTGGAATAGCTTTAAAGGACCAATTTCAGCTCACATGATGCAGTTTCTACTTGCCAAATAGTGGTCGTAGTCCCTATATTAGTTGTTAATGCATCAAAATTACAATGACAGTAACTTTACTTGTATTGCAAAGGTATAAATGGCTTTATAATAACACAATAAACTTTCTTTATAGAGCGCTTTTCAAAACAGAAGTGTTTTAAAGGTGCTTTCCAATAAAAATAAATCAAAAATTAAAATACAACAAGCACACAGAATGACTGATAAAAGTAGAAAGCACACAAATAAAGCTTAAAACTTAGATAAAATCAGGATAAAAATGTGTTTTAAGAAGTGACTTAAAAAAGAGCTACTTAGACAAATAATGAAAACAAACTCAAACAAATAGGATCCTATATGTGAAACATAAACAAATTACCATAGTTACAACTGTTGAAAAAGGATGCTGAATGACCTGAAAATGTCTTGATTTCATTCCTGAGATTTATATTTTAAAGTTTATATCCTGCAGGGTAACTTAAAATGAGGTATTTTCTTCATATTTCGCATAAAAACAAACTATATCATGTTAATTAAAGTCTGATTTCCAAATATAAACAAATATATTAGACGCATACAACATATAAAGATCGACAGTATCGCCCTGTAACCATAAATGTTGTCCCTGATTACACCAGCGGCATTAAAGTTTCACAGTGACACACCTTCGCTATCACCGCTGATATAAATGTTTGCATGTTTGACCCAGACAAAAGCCTACAAACTGGACCATGATCGGTTTACATCTGTGATCTAAACTCCAAAAAAAAAGCAAAAATATTTACAGAAAATAATGAACTTCTGCCTCATAAAAGTTTCTTTTAGTTTTTCTTTTTTGTCAGAGGTGTGGAGCTGATATTTGCTCATGAGGCACACCTGTAATGCGTCCGTGCACGCCTACGAGGTGGCTGCACCGGTCCTGAAGGTTGACCTGTTTGCTCACTTACCACTCGAGCAAAGGTTAGACGCACTTTATCAATGATCATGAACTTTATATCTGTAGCTTTTGACATAATTAGTTTTATAGTACCTTTAAAAACTGGAGGTACAACATAGAGCAACAATAAAACATTACAAAGGTCCTAATAGAATATTTAAACTGATTTAAACTGAGCTGATCTGACAGTAATGGGGAGCTTGTGTTGCTAACCCTTTATTTTATTCCTTGACTTTATAATTTCTATATTAAGTGGTAATAAATGACACCATGCATGTCGTAATTAGTGCGCGTTAAGCAATATCCAGGAGGCAGATGAACACCAGTAGTTTGTGTTTTCAACACTTTCATTCATAATGAAGCCGCATCGAAAACATGTGTTTTCAGGAAAAAGTTGCACTTCAGACAAACTCGAGCTCGTCCAATAGGCTCATAGATACGGCCTATAAATAGGATAAGCTATGAAAAGGAAGCTTTAATTTCCTGCAGGCGTTGTGGATGCAGCACAAGCTGTCCGAGTTTAACAGGCCGGCTTTGTGACGTGTCACAAACAAAGAAGAGAAGAATAATGAATGAAAGGATGGTACAGGCAACTTTTTCATAATTTAGAATTGTGTTGTAGAAACGGCATCACTTCTCAGCTCAACAGGCAAGTGAGTATATTATTATTAAACCTCAGGCATCAAGTGAAAAAAGTTCCATAGAGCACCAGAAAAAACGCCATAAAGATAGAAACATATAAATATTATTATTATTAATAAAGTTAGACCACCATATATTCATTCATGTTAAGGATCTTAAGGGTTTAAATGCCAGCATGTTTGCATGTTTGTAGTTTTTTTGTGAAAATAAGTTGCCATAAAGTAAGTGGTAGGTGGGTTATTTTTTCTATGATCACAGTCTGGGATGTGTCCATGATTCATTCAGATCCACTAATGTTTTTTGTGCAGCGTCAGATTTTTAAAAGTCCCACATAGGACCTTAGAGGACAAAATGTCAGAGCAAAGAACTGTCAGAAAATCCATCCATCCAATGCTTAACCCTCACTAGGGTCATGGGGGGCTGGAGTCTATCCCAGCTGACTCAGGGTGAAGGCAGGTTCACCTGGACAGGTAACCAGTCTATCACAGGGCTACACTTAGAGACAGACAACCAAGCCCACTCACATTCACACCTACGGACAATTTACAATCACTAATTAACCTCAACATGTTTCTGGACTGTGGGAGGAAGCTGGAGAACCCGGAGAGAACCCACGCTGCATGTGGAGAACATGGAGACTCCACGCAGAAAGATCCCGGGTGTCCTCACCGGGACGCCAACTGGCGACCTTCTAGCTGTGAGGCAACGGTGCTAACCACTGAGACACCTTGCAGCCCTCTCTTGCAAATGACACATATTCATCAGCATCAACAGCCTTTAACTGTTTGTATTACAGCCTTGCTCGGTCTTGCAGTGGCTGATGTTAGAGTCGGTGAATCAGCAGAAAAAGCTGCATAGTGTTGCTTTTTTTTTTTGCAATCATCAAAAGTAAAAGTAGAATAATGGTCCCTGTCGGTGCTACGTAGCGTCCTGTGTAATCCATAAAACGTGTCAGCAGCATTTTAACGCTGTAGGTGGAGCTGATTAGAGATCAGCACAGCCTTGGGTTATTATGTTTAAGTGCAGTCATTTAGTAAATGCTACTTTCAGCGTTATTACATAACGTTCTGCTGCCAAAATGCTTCATTTACTCTAAAAAATACCATAAATCAACCTTTAAAACAGGCATAATCACAGAAAGCAAACTCCAGGTTGACCCACAACTATTGAGTCGTTTTCTGTGTTTTACAGATTTCCGTCATCAACATGTGTCGGAATCGGCCAGGTAAGCGCCTCTTACGTTGAACCACCTCTACTTCCTGTTTGCTCGCTAACAGAGCCTGATGTTTAGCGTCCGCCTGCTCTGTGGCCTCTGCAGATGCTGGCTACTGTGGTAGTTCTGAGGACCGGGAAGATGTTGGGCGTGATCTCGTTTCCAGACATGGATCGGAGTATACCACGCAAGGTGAGGAGTGGATTCACATTTTCAAACAGTCGTCACATCAAAGATTAAAACTCTTAATTTTGAGCTTTCTGTCTTTCCAGATGTTCCCGCTGCCTCTTTTATACGTCGGGAATCAAATATCAGGACTGTTCGGGACACAGCGACTCAAGTGAGAGCTCGTTAGCCGCTGCTGTTAAATTACACAAACCATAACTTCCTGATAAACATGTATGTTTGCTTTCTCAGTTTGCCGATGTTCACAGTCCTGAGGAGGTTCAGTATTTTTCTCACTATGGTGTTTGAGGGCATCTTGCTGAAGTAAGTTTAGCTCTTTCCCTGCACACTTGAATCCAGACTGTTGAGAGCAAATAAACTGCAATAATCCCTTCCCCCCGTCCTCACAGGAAAACGTTCTCCACGTCCATTAAGATGACAGTGTTCACCATGATCTTCGGTGCTTTCATTGCTGCCAGGTGAGTCGACCACAAACATCCCGTTCAGGCTGTATCTATAAGTGCACATCTCATTCTTTGTTTTTTGCTCCGTAGCGCCGACTTAGCGTTCGACCTTGAAGGATATGTCTTCATCATGCTGAACAACGCTCTGACGGCGGCCAGCGGGGCGTACGTGAAGCAGAAACTGGACTCCAAGGTGAGCAGATCAGCAGCAGCAGCAGCAGCAGTGTGACGCCGTTACGACATCCCTGATAACACGCTGCTTGTTCCCGTAGGAGCTGGGCAAGTACGGGTTGCTCTACTACAACGCCCTCATCATGATCGGCCCCACGGTGGCATACGCTTACTACTCGGGGGACCTGCAAACGGTGAGGGAGTCTTCCTCAAACAAAGTGGTGTGTTTGATTTATTACCGAGCTGGTGGAGTCAGTGCTGCTGTGTTTGTTTATGCAGGGGTTGGAGTATAGCGGCTGGTCCGATCAGCTGTTCGTGGTGCAGTTTGTGCTCTCCTGCATCATGGGGTAAACACAACAGATTACTGTTTGTATGTATGTTAGCAGGTAGTGTTCGTGTCTAACTCTGCCTCCATGTGTCGTGCAGGTTTGTTCTGATGTACTCCATCATGCTGTGCACGCAGTACAACTCGGCGCTCACCACCTCCATCATCGGCTGCATTAAGGTGAGTCCTGTCTCCTCGCTGCTCGGCTTTTATTCTCGTGGATGAATCACACATCTTCATCCGTGGTAATGGAGACAGGAAATAGACAACAAAGCATTCTGTGTATCAGCATTATCCGGTTTTTATGATCTCCTGTGGTTCACACTCTGCTGTCTCTAAGCTGATTCATTCATTTGTTCCCCAGAACATTCTCGTCACTTACATCGGGATGGTGTTCGGTGGAGACTACATATTCACCTGGACTAACTTTCTAGGTCTTAACATCAGGTAGGAAACACACACATACAGTCAGATGTATTCATCCCCTTCCATTAAAGGAAAAAGGCAAAATTCACAATAGTCCCTCAAATAACTAGAAACTGAAAAAGTAATAATAAATAAAAATTTGCTAAATTATAATTTAGTGAAATAAGACATAGCTTTTGAATTGTGGTTGAAAAGAATCATTTAAAAAAAAATAATAAAAACTGTCCTGGACAAATTAGAGCACTTTGCTGATGAGCAGTTTACGGGTCCCATCGTGTTTGTTTTTTATATTTCTGTTGAACCACAATTCAAAAGCAACGTCGTGATGTTCATTAAATTTTTATTTATTATTACTTTTGTCAACTTATTTCAATGTTTTTTTCCTTCTTTAACGGGAGGGTGTGAATACATTTGTGGACGACTGTAGCTTGAGCTGTTAACTTTTGAGATGCGGCTTGTGGTTTTTTTGAGAACATGTTTGTCTCTTTGTCTCCTGCAGTATTGCTGGCAGCCTGGTGTACTCCTACATCACCTTCACCCAGGAGCAAACAAGTAAGAGCTGCTGAATGAACCAAACCCACAGTGTTTGTATTGTACCATCTGTAACATCTGTAACATCTGCACAATGTCACATTCAACAGAAAAGGCGTAAATCATGGCGTCGACGCTGAAGAATCGCATCCAGTGGATTTATTTTTAAATCTAAACACTTGAGTTTTGATGGAAATGTATTTTCTGATGCAATGCAATCAACTTTTTTACTAATGATGAAGATAAAATATGCTCATTTTTATAATTTTTTTTACTGATTGAATGTAATGGCACTGATATTTTTATATGAGAAATCAATAAAATGAAGATTATTTTGACTTTTTCAGCTCTATTTCCATTCACTGACTCAGTATCGTGTTAAAAATACGACACTTTCTATCACATTGGGTTCCTTTTGCTCTTCTACAACTCACAACATGACAAACTCAACTTTATTAATACATTTATTAAATATAGCCGATGTTATTCAATTCATAGTCAGTCTTGGAATACACTTCATTTTTATTCATGTCATCATTTACAGAGAAAAAAAAGGACATCATTTTCAAAAAAAAAAAAAAAGGAAATAAAACAAACAAAACAAAAAGAGACTACATGGATCAACATTATCGGAGACAAACTTATCTTAATTTCTGAATGTAAGTTCAAAGCTGGAGTACAAAGTAAAACATCAGGCTGAGCAGCTGCTGCGCTGACAAGAGTTAAAGTCTTCCAGGTTCACATCAACCGGGGCGAGTTTCAACTGCTGCTCTGAGGAACGACGGCAGCTTCTGCTGGGAACTAAGCATTCTGAATAAGCAGCACACAGAACCACGACGTGGGGCTTTTCCGCTGCAAACGTTTTTGAGTTTGAGCAGGTTCGCACAGGAATGAGAAGTACTGCCAAACAGAGAGGAGGAGGAGGAGGGGAAAAGGAATGGCTACGTTTTCATTACATCCATCTCAAGAGAAAGAAAAAAAAAAAAACAGCTTCCCGACGAAAAGCAAAAAGCCCACGAGGAGGACCGGAAAACAACAGAGATGAACGGACAGACGGTTATAAAAAAATGTACCAACTGCTCAAGGTAAGAAATCTATACAAACTTTACATGAAAAATCACAAACATTCTGTCTAGTAAAAACAAAGCGTTGAGCAAAGCACTGACTATGAAAATCCAAAAATACAGAGATCTTCTACATGAGTTATCTTACAGGACATCACTGATGTCAGCTGCTTTACACAAACAAACCCGTCGGCTTATTTATCCTAAAACACACGGCCGTGATGGAGAACGAAGTGAGGGAGTGAAGATGTGTTTCTGCTGGGTTCTGACACGACTCCTCATCGACACGGACGAGAAACGTACAATCAAAGTGCGACTAACGAGAGCCGGCGGCGGCGGCCTCTTGTTTTTGCCTAAATTTGCATCTTTTTGACAACTTAAGCACATCATGGTTAAAAACACGTCCCGTCTCATGATCGGATTCTTAACAGCAAACAAATGGCTTGAACAGCAAATGACCCATCGTTAGATTTGTTTTTTTTCTTCGTTAAAAAATATAAATATCTCTTGTGTAAAAAAATATCACAGGTGATTTATCTTCTTTAAAGTACAAATAGAAAAAAAAAAAAAAAGGAAATTCTTGGCAAAAAATTTTGTCAGTCTCCGAAAAAGGGAGCCGATGGGTAGAAGATGTTTTGTAGGACATGAACTAGCTGTGGTACTTTGGGATGAGCTTTGTGGGTAGTCGGTACATGGATGGGATGGAGGGACGGGGGGCTGAGCTGGGGCGGCTGCTGCCCCTCCTGGAGGACCGGCTGCTGATTTTCAGTGAGTCTCTGAGGCGCTCACGGGTCAATCTTCCTCGTCCTCCGCTCCCCTAAACTACCCGTCGGTGGAGAAGTAGCGACGTATTTTGTCTGTTAGTCAACATTGCCGAGCTCTGCAGCCTTCAGTTCTCCTGCGTTCTGGATGGTTCCACCTCACTTTGGCCTAAAGGCTCGGCCTCCGTCCTGCACCTCTTGGCCGGCCTGTCGTGAGCCACCGCCGCCGTGTCTCTGTGGTCTAGCAGGGGCTCCAGGGAGCCGTTTCTGTCGTGGCTGGGAGCCGTGGGTTGGCTGCAACCGTTGGAGTTGTTGTCTGAAACCGGAGGCGGGGCTTCTGCTGACGGGTGTGACGGGCCGTTGGACTGGACTCCCTCAGGTTTCACTTGGTTTGCTGGAGGCAGCGGAGCGCCGTCCACCGGGTGGGTTGAGTTGTGGCTTGCGATACCTGTTTAAAAAAAAAAGATGACGTGAGTGGAAAGGGTTGGATCTCCAAAACTACAAAACCTGAGAAGGTTTAGGATATTACTCTGTCAGATTTCAGTCTTTATCTGAATACAGCAGGGGGAATGGGATATCACTTGTGGCGTTAGCAATTAACAAACCATCCATCCATCATCTATACACCATAATCCTCACTAGGGTCATGGGGGGCTGGAGTCTATCCCAGCTGACTCAGGGAAGGAAGCCGGAGAACCCGGAGAGAACCCACTGGGAGAACATGGAGACTCCACACAGAAAGACCCCGGGTGTCCTCACTGGGACACGAACCGGTAACCTTCTAGCTGCGAGGCGATGGTGCTAACCACCGAGCCACCCTGCAGCCCTTCAAACTACATAATAGTTTTTTTTGTTTGTGATTTATGACGTTCTAATTTTGCTATATTGCACTAAAGTCATTTCGGAGTTCTATCTCTGTATCCACTCACCGTTCTGGCTGCTGCTGTCTTCCCTCTCTGAGTGGCTGGTGCTGCTGCTGGAGGTGGTGGGAGGAGGCGATGCCGCCCTGCTGGATGTTGCACTCTCTGTCTCGTCCAGTAATCTGTCCATGTAGTCTCTGGCGACACACAGCAGCGCACACTCTCGTTACACACAACTATAGATCTGGTTTTATAAAGTGTGCAGTGTCTAATCTAACAGTGAGCACTGGTGGGTCCTCCTTTAGGTGCAACACACTCAAATGTACAGTTTGAAGCGAGCGTCTTGTTTCAACACGTGTCTAGTGGATGGCCTGCTGTGGTTGTGTACGTGCCACCTCCCATGTGTTCACCCTGAGATGCAGCAACATCATCAGGTACACAAAGCTCATGATTATGGTGCAATAAGATCCATCATGACAGATAAAGTTAGTCTGGATAGCTTTGTCTTTATGGGTTTAATTCTGGCTCGACTGCTGCTATTTCTTTGGCTCGACAAACCGTTCAGTCTTGGCAGAAGTTATTATACTAAATCTATAATACATAAAAAGAGTTTGTACTTAGCCCGATGAGCCCTCGGTTACTTTCAGGGTAATTTCACTACTTCTAGTTTTTCACTCTTATCTTGGTTATTATAAGGGCTAGTCATTCATACTGTATCTTGTTTAATTCACAACATCTGAGGCTATCCAGACCTTCCACGGCTTGATGTGATAATACTTGCAGCTGTTTTTATATTCACTCAATATCAAGGACAAAAATATTAAAAATTGTGAAATTTTAACATCATAAAATGCCGAGAACAGCGACGTGTTTTTATAACGATGAAGAGAGACTGTCTGGGTCCCGGACTCTTAATTCATGTTAACCTCAAAGCAGTGACTGCGTTGCACAGACAACAACATGTCAACATTAACATATATCATGAGTCATTCAGGTTTGGTCCATCTCTACACCCTTGTAGCTGATGCAGACTGTAAATATGATTACATCTGAGGCAAACTGCAGATAGTTTTTTTCTCGTCAGTGCTTCGTCGCAGTCAAACGAGTTTCAGCTGCAATAAAAATTCAGAGAGCAATTCAGCTGAGAGGAAGGAATGTGAATTTGGGCAACATGTTGGGTTTTGCAGGTTCATGCACCACTAGTTGACATAAGCTGTAATTATATCTGGTTGCCTACGTAGGACTCAGCGTTGATGCTGCACATAACGCTCTGTGTGCTTCCTCGATATAAATCCATCAGCCGACTGGAATATTTCAACAGAGAAAGAGCTAATATGTAAATACAGTCGTGACTCGATAATCTGACCCTTAACAATCCTAAACCTTGCTATCCGGCAAGTTTTTAGGAAAAACGAACAGAACCCATAAAAACAGCCTTAACATACCGACAGCCTTGGATTCTGACTCCTACATGACATTTTATGTCACCAATCAGGATAACGGCGTATTATCTGACTGAACAATCCCACAGATTGGCCACGTTCACACTGCAGGACTTGATGCTCAACTCAGATTTTGTTGTTAAATCTGATTTCTCAGTAGTATGTATGTAGCGTAGCGTCAGTATGAAAAGCAAACAAGACACCACATTTTGTTATTTGAGACTAGATGGTAAATCTGCAGAACCTTTCATGGGGAAGTCATCCATGAATCAAGCCCCACACTTTGCTAATGCTTTCTAAATGTAAAGACCTGACACAACCTTTCTCGACAGCAAGATCTGCAAATGCGAATAAAGATTTATGAGCATCTACAAGGAAGGACCCACCAGAGGCTGATTTATCCTCACAAAACAATAAGTTTTCCATTAGCGGTTATGATCTTTGGAATCACAACATTTCTATCAAAATATTACAAACAACAAACACATTCATCATGAAACATCAGCTCTGTATTTGCAACGTTCCTTCACAACAGCACGTATTTTTTAAAGCAGACTTACGTTACACCAGGGTGAAGGTTGTATTTCCTTTTCCCAAGTCTGGTTTGCTGTGCAAAGAAATCATAACGCTCAGACTTCTTCCACATGTAATAAAAGGCCACACATTCTCCTACAGACCTAGTTCTCACCTGAAAGATTTAATTCAGCAGACATGAAATAACCATTATTACCATCGTCTGAACAGATCAGTTCAGTACAAGTTCACATGAGAGACAAATCAAATTACGGTTCTGACGAGAGCCAAATCGGCTACAAACATTTTAAAAACAGATTAATTTGATTTGTCTCAGAAAGCAGCAAAGATCAAACCGCAGCAACAGAAAACACATGAATACAGATCTTAAGTTGATGCCATTAAAATTATATGAGTGCAGTAAATATGTGATGATGATGATCAGAAGTGGTTAAATACGGTTCTCTTACCTTGTTGGCCTGTATTAAATGAAAGTCTTTGCCATAAGCTTTTAGTCCTTGTTCAAAATTTCTACATTCCTCTTCGGTCCAGACAGATAATTCTTCTGCAGCAGAGGAGGTCAGTGATTAATTCATGTTACATCTGTTGTAAAATCTTTATGAGGCTCAATAATCCATGTGTAGGACACCAGAGCTAAATGTTTCAACAGGGTCTGCTTACCTCTGGCTGCTTTTACATTAAATCTTAGTCTTCTTAAAGCTTCCTCCGTGTCAAAGTCACATTTCACTAGTTCATACAATGCCTGCAGGGAAACAAACACGTTTAGATCACTCATGTAAACAGTTACACGTACGATGAGGCGATCTTTGTGAGATTTATGACAAGCCACAGATGTGTTGCGCTCACTTGTTCGTTGTCTTTGATATGGGATCCCTCTGGGATTGCGTCCACTCCCTTCTCATCTCCCGTTCGCCTCGACGCTTCCGTCAAGAACTCCACAACTTTGCCTTCGGGGAGACACTCGGGGTTCCACAATAACTGGTCGTCGTTTTCATAAACTAAAGGACGGGTTCAGGCAAAAAGAACAATGAGATATCAACGCTGTAGGATCCACATGCAGACGTCAACAGGGAGACACACCAACAGCCAGCGTACCTTTCTCGTTGTCTTTGTATTTACACAGGCCGACGGGAGTCTCTGCCTGATACATGGAGCCCACCATGATCTCCTGTTGGGACAAACACTGTTCAGATTCAGCATGAGTTGGATCACGTATTCATTTATTGCACCGAACAAGACGGGCTGGGATCAAATCTCATCTTTCTCTACAACATGAACACACAGTCATTTCTGCACAGATTTGGATTCCCCTGCATATATTGTTCTGCTCTTGAAGTTCACTGTGAGAAGTCCAGTTTAGTATTTCTGCAGCGCTCACAGTATGATTTTGAAAGCCAGAAATCCAGTGCAGTGACGACCAAATCTGACAGCTGCGTATTTCTAGAAGTCTGAAGGACTTTCAGTTGATATAAATAAATATGGCTTGTAAACAAAATCTTCTGTTTTTGTTCTGCCAGATGTTTAACAGACTCAGCTGTAACCTCACGGTGCAAATGTCTGATCAGCGGAGCTCTCACACACCTTTTTCCAGTCTTCAGATGGAACATAGTCCTCATCTTCATCCGACTCCTCCTCTGCGTCATTATTACCTGAGACACAAGACGGTATCCACTCAACCTGGTTTCTAATATATCCATCAACATCTCAAGTAAAGTTGCGACAGGAGAAAAGACAAGAAAACAGGACAGCACATACTTTCAAAGTACTTTAGTTTCTGGGGGCGAATGAGTTCTGCTGTGCCGAGCGACCTGACCGAGCGCGTCCGACCCTCGGATGTTGACTGGGCCTCCCCCGCCTGCCCTGACGAGTTCTTTACATCCTCACCCTGGAAACACAAAGAAAGGAGGAACAAAGCTGTAATCAGTCACATGGCATTCATACCGACTATGTTCAGTTTAACCCACCGTATACAGAGAGGTCATGAGCTATCATAAGGCCGCTGAAGACACAAATGCTGTCAGACCATTTCTGTCCAGTTTTCAAGTTTATGCCTACTAGCTTGCTATAGTTGTCGACACATATGTTAGTAGCTGAAGAAGATCAGCAAGAGGCTTCACTATCGGCTGATGATATGAAAATCGACATTTCGGTTTCTGGAAGCCACGTCACCGTCAACACCCCCATGAAAAACCAACCAGCGTACCTCATTTCTTTTCAGTTCGCCGGTGCTCCTGCTGCTCTCATCGTTGTCGAGGTCTTCTTCCTCATCCTCGTCGTCGTCATCCTCTTCTTCCTCAGGCTCCTCCTCTTCGTCCTCATCATCATCTGCTGGCGATCTGCCCCCGTAACCGTAGAGACTCAGCAGCTCATGAATGGGCATCTCGCCCTCCTGATAAGACAAAAGCGACATCGTTTTTTAAACTGTAAGAAAAGACAAGAATAATTTCAACAGTTTGATGCCGACTCCAGGTCTTGGTGTCACAATCAGACTTAGAATCAGACTGAACAATTTGGGGGAAATTATGTAATTGCAATTTTCTGGCATATATTGCAGCATCTTTTTTTTTTTAAAAGTCAGCCTTTAGTTCAATATTAACTAGAAACAAATTTAAATCCTGTGATGAAGCAGAACCACATGAGAAATCACCAAAAGCATGATTGTCACACGAATCTGTAAACCCACTGAAATGACATTTTAAACACCAGGTGAGAAACGCTGCAGAATGTATTTCCTAAGTTTGTAATTTGCAGGTTCAGGGTCCCGTCATGTGACACTCGTTCAGGCCTCCAGAACCTGGTTACCTCCCAGTTTTACCTGTACCTTTTCTTATTCCATGGTGCGATCATTAGTTTATCCTTGTGTATTTATGCATGTTAATGTTTTTATTTGTGCTTCTCAGTCTTGAATTAACATTAAAATGACCACCTGTGTACTTTGAAATTGGTTAAATTCAAACAAAACCTTTTTTTTTTCCTGGTCTGTGTTAAAAATAAGTTGTTAATAATGACAAATAATTTCAGATTAAATATTTCTTTAGCTATATCGCCCAGTCCTCCTACATACAGCAAGCTTTCTGACAGCTGCACCTTGTCCTCACGGTGTCCGATTTTCAGCATTTGTGAACCGATTTAAAGTAGTAGAAGACCTAAATAATTATTCTCGTGTATAACAAACATTTTACCTGCCCTTAATCAAGTCTGAGAGCTAGAAACTGACATTATTACATATTAGAAAACTCGACACGAACCCTTGCAAGATCTTCAATCTCATTGGCGTTGGTGTCATCTGCTGCCTCCAACATCTCTTCTTCCTCCAGGGTTCGTTCGTCGTCGAAGTCGTGGACGAGCATGTCAGCTGATGGATCAAAATCATGGTCATCGGAACCTGCTGAACCTCCTGGAAGATCAACCACAAGTAGAGATAAATTTAGAGTGTGAACATGATGAGAGAAAATGTTTAGCAAATGCAATAAAGATACGGTCAGTACTTTTGTTTGAATATATACATGGATTACAGACATATTCAGGGGTGGGCAGATGTGTCATTTTATATTCATTTGTTTTTCTTTTTAATTCAACTAAAACTTTTTGGGGAAATGATTCCTTCTAAAGTACTTTACCCCACTAATGTTACGTTTACAAATTCTAACACATGGAGGGAATTTAAATGGGAAATAATCACGAGATATTTTTGAACTCCAGCAATAGAGTCCAGGATGGGTCCACAATATCCCAGTTCATGCTGGAGGAACTGTGGCGCCTATATAGCTAATCACACCCACATACTTTGGGAGTTAAGTGTGTTTTGGAGGGAGGTTTTCAATGCCGGGGGTAATAGCTGAGGGTCTGGACAAGAGGGCAGATAAATACCTTTTGAATATCCTAACCACTGCCGCCTTAACGTCCATAACCATCAGATGGTTGGAACCAGAACCTCCCTCATACAAGTCTGAGATATTTATCAAATGGAGCCGATTACATTCTCACTAAGACTTCAGAAAACCATCTTTACTAAAAGATGGGAACCAATGCTACCCTTATTGTTGCAATAAAGTTTTCATCCTGCTCGGTGTCAAAGTGCTGCCATCCTGCCTCTGACTACGATGTGTGTTTATAACCTTATGTTCTGGAGGGGGTTTTAACTGCTATTACTCTCTTCAATTGTCATCCTCTATCGTCTATGGAGGGTTTTTTATACAGCCAAGAAAAAGGAAAATAAACTGTTGAACTGTGTTTAAATGTTGAAATGATAACATTAAAAAACAACAAAAACTACGTTTAAAACAAAAAATTATTATTACCAAGTAGTTGTGCATTTATGAGTTTTATTTCATACGATGGTCAAGTTTTTCTTTGAACTGTGGCACTCACAGCTGTTCGGACAGTAACGGGGAGCGTGTTTCACAGCTTTGGGCCTGAAACAATAAAATTATGACCCTCCTTTGTTTCAAATTTTAGCTAAATTTTTACATGATTCTCTGATTTGAGGTGCAGATAAAGGGGTTAACAGCTCTGAGCCAGACCATGAAGAGACCTGAAGGTATAATACAGATCCTTAAATTGAATTCTACGACAAACCCAGTGTAATTCTCAGAGAACCGGAGTACCGTGGGATCTGTGTCAAGTGTTTGTTAGCGTGTAAAACAACAGGCATTGTCTAGGCAAGTGAGCGACAAGCTGCAGTCGTACAAGCAGGAGAAAATGATGGTGTGAGTGAAGCGTTGAGTTTTTGGAGCGCACTGGTCTGACAATATTTCAGATTTGTAGATAGTAGGATTGAAGATTCCTCATGACAGTTTAATATATATATAATCCATCTAAAATACAATCTCATCATCCACCCTTAGCCTGAAAACACTGCAGAAATACAGCATATGTTATACTATTTTATAATATATAGGTTTAAAAAAGAAAGAAAAAAAGCATTTTGTAGTTTTAAAATAATCATAATTAAAAACATATTTCACTACGATTTAGGGGTATTTCCGGTGTAAACAAGTTATCAGAAAACGCTAAACAGTTAATAAACAATTAACTTCTTGTTTAAATGTACGTATCAAACTGTATTTAATCTAAGTTTGGACAACAGATTTCAAACCTATAACAACAGCAGGAAGGCTCCAGCTGTGTGTGAGTTACCTGGGCTCGAGTTCCCGAGGGAGGGCTGAAAAACACAAAAACAGGAGCATAAATAAAGTTGAAGAACAGCTTCAGATGCTACCATTTCATTATTAGCGCTTAACAATCGAGTTATAACGTGTGTACAACGTGACATATTCAAGTTGGTCCGGCAGAGGAACGTAGACGGGAGTTGAGAAAAAGCGCGCCCGACCCGGTGCCCTAAAAGCTGCCTGCAGTTCAGCAAGACAAGAAACAAAGAATGCTGCCAGCGCATCCTGCGGGGAAAATACAGGCAGCATCCGAGGAACGACAATATCACAGGCACAGCGTCTAACTCCGCCACGGTGAGCTACAGCAGCCGAGTGCTGGTTAATTCTCTCAACTCGCTCACTTACACCGCAACTTACAAGCTAGTTAATTCTCCTTTATGCCGTATATTGACGCTAACGCGTCCAAGTTGAGCTTGGTACCAACTGCCCGCAAATAACGACCCGAAAACAACACAGAACATGTCAGAACCACGAAACCCCCGCTACGTACCCGATTAAAGACGTTAACGCGCACGGCGAAGTGTTCTGAAAGAAAACCGCGAAGTAACATCGCTAACGCCGCAGCTACCTTCCGTCGGGGCTAGCCGAGCTAACGTTAGCTAAATCCGAAGTTTACTAAACATGCTTGAGTCGAGAAATGTTTGTTGTCCAGCGACGCAAACTGCTCGTACGTAATTTCGCGCGCGAAAGCTATAACGCGCAAACGACGTTCACATTCGACTGGACTAACTATCCTGCAGTATAAATTTATTTTTTCCGAATATTTATTTCACTTTCTTACCTCCGCCATGTTTGCAATCCTGCAGGGTCACGTCAGGGGTCAGCGGCGGTTCCCGGATGTAGAGCCCCGCCCACCTGCAGTATAAAGAGCGTGATGCTTCAGGCGGCGGGCTGCACGTCTGTTTCATACACACTACATGTTAAACTTTACTCATGAATATAAATCAGATCATTTTAGACATGTTTTAGATTTCATTATATACGAGTTGTCTACATTTAAATACTCTAAAATTACGTCATTATTTATAAGAAATAGGTTTTTAAGTTGCCTGAATACAGTATGGTGGAAATGGCGCTGATGTTAGTTCCTCTCCTGAGACATTTTTTTTTACAGCAGAAGTACTGATCCACTGATATTTAGAACATATCTATTCCAGAAGGCATATATGAGTTTCAGGCTTTCAGTTTCCTTCATAACATTGACCCTTGAACATTTGAGCTCTCTCAAAAATAAAGATGAAATCTAATCTAATGAAAGATGTCAAGCTCATGGAAAATAACTCCGTACTTTGTTGTAATCACTCCAAATGTCCTCAAAAGTGTTTTATGTATATATAACTTGCCGAACAAATTTCAACAGTTCTGCACATGGAAACTTATCATGCAACAACTCCATCTAACTGATGTTATGAATCTCCCAGAAGATATTTTTACTAGGAAACTCCAGCAGTCAGAAGGTGTTCCTGCAACACTGACTAACGCTATCTACAAGTTCTGATAATGTTTTGAAAAATGTTTTAGTCTAATTGTTAAAGAACGCTTTAAAGATATCTATCATTTCAGTAATGATAAAATGTAAACTCAGACATAAACCGCAGCATTCAGAGGATGTTTGGAAGATGTTGTCTGGCCACAGATTGTGTTACACGGTAAGAAAGGATGAGTGTTCCCAAACCAACGTTCAAAAAATGTTTTCTAGATGTTGTCGAGTCCTCAGATGATATAACTTTTTTTCATAGAGCTTTTCTGTGTTGTGACATATTAACAGAACATTTTGCCTCCAATGGACTGAGGATGTTTTGGGGATGTTAAGGTAACACATGACACAACATTGTTTGTTACACAGGGAGGATGTTCCTGTTGCAAAATTTGGAAAACGTCCGAAGATTATTAGAATGAAAACACCTAAAAAGCCACATAAATACACACACTCATTCAGTAAATAGCAAAAACATGTTGTGAAACTTGTTAACGGTTACCAAAGATGATGGACTCACTGGGGACTCTATAAAAGCTGTTGAGCACAACAGATGTTTCCTGAGAGCAAACAACAGGAGATCCATACTTCTGCTCGTCATGGTGCTGTGCATGTTGTGTGCTGTGCGGTCGAGCGTTTGTGGTGTTTACGTGTGGACGATCCAGGTGGAGAAGACTGATGGGAAAGGAGGAGGCTTTCCCAAACTGTCAGTTATTGGAATTAGCCTTTGGTGTGTTGAAACTCTGAACTTAATTAAAAACACAACTGACTTCTGATAAACAAAGGTTAATGTCTTTTAGCAGTGAACAGAAAACCAGACCTACGAGAGACGACAGATGAACCGTCGCTGTCAACAAGACTGCAGAACTTTGCCGTGCTCTGCAAGAGGACGCCACCCCATCATCAGTCACTCATATGTTTGCTAGAATGATGTGATTTCATTTTTCATGCTGGCAAAAACAAATAAAGAACACCACAATTTTTTGGTTTAAAATTCTTGTTTGATCACTTTAAACATGTCAAAACATATAAACATTTAACAGCAGAAATGTACCATGAGATTTAGATCAAAGTATGCCCATGATTCACTCAACGTAAATAGCATAGACAGTTGCCACACCGTACAGATATCTGTTCTTGAAGGAGTACGAGACTGAGGTGTCGTTAGACGTGTCCCACAGACAGCGGCTGTCCATCTGCATGCTCTGCCCGTTGAGCTGGCCGATGTGGACCAAGATGATAATTTTATATCTGGGGATCAATAAGTCCTTCACACGGGCTCTTATCACCTGAGAGAGCCAATGAGAAGAATGAGCCTGAATAAGACTTACATTTAAATGCACTCAGAAAGAGTTGTGTTTGGTTTTTTATTCACCTCACATATTGTTTTTGTCATTTTCTGAGACCACTCCACTTCATATCTCTCCTCTTGGAGGTAACTGGTGAGTACATCCTGTAGTATGTCTGTGAGCGCAGCGACAGAGAAGCGTTTATCAGGTCCTGTGGTTAAAAGAACATAAAACAGAAATCCTATCATGAATAAAACTAACTTCATGTGTGATACTGTGGATCGTAGGATATGTAAGTGCAAGCAATTGATCTTTAAATCTTCAGTTTTGTCTCCGTGCTTAAGTAGTTTAAGGACAACATTTTAAACGTGTGATATCTGTGGTCAGAATTAAGTAAACTAGTCAGATGAAATGCATTTGAGTTGGAGCCCAAATATGACATTTTCTCTGAGAATCAGAGTTGTACTATATTTGCACTGTATTGCTGCTGTGATGCAAAGTGTTGTGGTGCTTTAACTCGACTGTTTTCTCACCCATCTGGTACGTATTCTCTATTGCTACACCTATGCGGGCGTTGTCATCGTGGTGCAGCTCATCTATGCACGACACTGTGCTTATAGAGCTGAAAGACAAACGCCAGGAGAAGGGTACAACATACACACACTGTGGTTAACTGACCTCCAGATATTACTGGGTTTCTGAATAGCTGTCATAAGATGGCAGACAAAAACACAAGAATAACAAAAGGTGGATTTTAGCTTTTTGTACTCACTCTTTAGTCCTGAAAGTTGTGTCTTTGCCTCTGGCTCCATGGCTCCCCTCTACGGCCAGCTTTACTATCCTCTTGTCTTTTTTTTGCAATTTCTCTTTGCGCAGATCAGACATGACAGCTTCTCCTGCCTGTACCTTGCTTAAAAAACCTAAATATATGGATATTTACTCCAGTGGCTTACTGGAGTAATTCAGACGTTTTAGGTACTGACGAAAAAATAATGAATTGATAGTCTTTATGAATCGTTAAAGATCATACAAAGTGCAGTGTGCAAAAAAATATAACCCTAAAACCGTTTCACAGTACTGGAGGTTTCACCAAAACTAGCTAAAGTTAAAACTAAACAAACTTTTCAAGCCTGTTAGCTAAGCTACAGTCGCGTTAGCTCGTCTGTAAACCGAATATATTTATGTTTAGGCTGCTTGGACAAAGAACAGAGGCTTAGTAAATAAAAAAGTAGTTTTGTAAGACACTTCTTGCCTGACTGGGTCATATAGAAACAATACAGAGTCAAATTTGTCGCGTTTTTACCGGTTTTAGGAGCTCTTGAACCGAGTTGCACTCAGAGCTTGGCGTTGTCATGGCAACATGAG